TAAATATAATAAATATAATTATAAGGAATATTCATATTAATAATTGGTAATCTAAGAAATATTCCTCTGGAATTATGGTGAGGAATAAATAAATATTATAGTATTATTATTTAATTGGTATTTGTAAATAATAACAAATGTTTAGGAAATTTTGAATTATTTAAGTTATTTAAGTTTTTAGTAAGTATATTAAGTATTTAATTATTGTTTCGTTGAAATTCTGAAGGTATAATTTTCCTATTAAAATATAAAAAGGATCCTTAAATATAGTGCATAAAATTAAATATCCATATTACCATGGATATTAATGATATTTGAATTAGGTGCAGGTCAATAGTGTCATTTTAATTTTTTGTTGGTTATATCATGCCACATGAGCAGCTGAAAATCATTAGAGCGTGCGCCTGCCGAAGAAGCGTTTAGCCGGCCGCGTTTCGGCTGCCGGGTTCATCGAAATCTCGGCAAAAAAAAAGATTTCGGTCCGTACGGGCTCTAGATGTTTATCTACCTTTTCCAGAAGCTGGAGAAATAAACACGAAAAACATGTGTAGAATATATGAATATATATGAAATGTATTGGCTGTGGTCACGGAGGCTGCATGAAGATTCCCATCTGGGTGGAGCGGGCGCAAGCTTGCCGCTCGGGTGACACACCGCATTGCGGCTGTGCACTTCAAAGATTCTACAAACATTTTGACTGTTAATCCACCATCTCCATAGAATGCTCGGTTCGCAACTTATGCAACTTCTCGACCTTGAACCACACTTGGTTCACGCCAAAAAGGGATCTTACTGGCAGGTAGTCTTGCGAGTTGTGGGGAAATCATAGTACTATTCAACCTGTACCCGACAAGTGGAAGCTACTTGGAATGCCTGAGCTTTGACTACAAGATTTAGTGATTCGAGTTGATCCCCCTCACTAAGCTTCTGTCAGACCAACAACAACCCTATCCGATAGACGAAGACATTTTTTGGACATCGACAAACAGCAACATGACAAAAACCTAAAGAGCAAACAGTTCAACATTGAGAATGTTTACCCAACAGGCTTCATGGCCCGAGCATCTTTGGAAAGGTGGCAGTTGGAATCAGCTGTCAAAAGGGAGACGGCCTCAGCTGGGAAATCTGCTGGGAAATCATGGGAACATCTCAGCCTTATTCAATGGCCCAGGGAATCACTTGGATCCAGGATCTGAAAGCCCATGGCATCCCATGGCATCCCATGGCATCCCATGGCATCCCGGGCCCCTGGCGTCTTTTGCTCGTTCTCCACATCAACCTTTGAGATTCAGCAAAAATCGACACAGATTTACTCACAGTTTAAGGTCATTCAAATATATAGACTACATCTTCCCAAGATCCAGAAGTTCCAATAGTTCAGCTTCAAAAAGTTCAGATCCGATTGATTCAACTTATTGATAGATTCAACTTATTCTCATATAGATTTCAATCCGGATGTTGATATATTCAAGCATATTCACGCATATTCACGCATTTCTGGATCATCTTTCTTCAGCCTCACAACAGTTCTCAGTACTGTATGAACCCAAGCGAATTCCCGTGATGCCGATGATCATTTCCGTTGCTACCCACCCATTGGCGTTGAGGCACACCAGGCTCAGATGCATTGAGAACAAGTATTCTGCCCTCTGCCTGCCGATCAGATGAAGCTTTCCATGCTACAGCATACAACATCTGCTTAAATTTATTAAATTCTGCGCAACTCTTGTTGGACTCAGCAAATTCTTTCAGATTCTGAGTTTTTCGGAGCCAATGCCGAAGCATTCCACATATTCTAACAAGATCAGGACATATCAGGACTGTTTTACAATGACTAGATCAAAGACATTCAAAGACCACATCCGCAGCCCCATGACGACCTCGTCTTTCTGCCATCGCTTTGTGGCACGCCTAAGGTCCTGCGATGGAAATTGATAGGAAGTTGACTCAGTGGACTGTAACTTTTCAGGAAACAGGAGTTTTTTTTTTAATGGCCATAAAAAAAGTGGATTTACCGATTTACCCATTAAAAAAAGTGGATTTGCCCATAAAAAATGGTATATCATCTGGTTGGTGGTTGAGCCACTCCTCTGAAAAATGATGGAGTTCGTCAATGGGAAGGATGACACTTTTTTCACTTTCTGGGTACTGCGCGTGATTGTGCCTGGTGTTGTACCATGCAATGGTGAAAAGACCGGATGTGGAGCCTACACATTACCCATGGTAGTCAGGCTGCACGACACCGATGGGCACAAAATCTGTCACCACATACCGGTCAAACTCGCTGGGCATCGAGGGGCTAGTGTCGCATCCATCGAATGTGCCCTGTACAAAAGTGTGAATTGCCCTGGCGATGACTGCATTGAGCCCTGCAGGGTAAATTTTTGCACGTGCAGTGCGAAAATCGCCTGCCTCGTCTCTCCCTGCCATTCTTTCATGTGCACGGGGCCCATGATTGCAACGGCCACTGCAGCCACTTCCAAGAAGGAGCGTTCTCAACTCAGGGAGCCTCACATGCAAAATGGTGGTGGGTTTGATTGCATCACTTCCGACGGTGCACTGGTCGAATGACGTCACGCCAACACAAGCCAGAGTGCGAAGGAGTCGAATCTCTCGATTGCTCCAAATGCTTGCTGGGTCCTTGCCCTTGGCCCACAACGGGAACTGCGGGTGTTCCAGGAAACCAGCTCCACCAGAGTGTGCAAGGCACAGGAGGGCCTCTGCGATGAAGCAGATCAACCTAGTGCCGACCATGCATTGTTGCCACTGCCGTTGTCGGAGGTTTGGAAAACCTAACGGCCAAGAGCCTGAGCGGAGCGGTGGCGGGCCACCCTCGAGCAACCTCGCTGCAGTGAAAGTTTCACACGGTGGGCCGCCGCCCATTCCGCACACCTGGCCGGTGGAGATCTGGTGCTTCCAAAATTCGAAGGCTTGCGACGATGCCAGGTTACCTTCAATCTTCTGCATGCACATGTCTATTGACAGCACAAAGAAATGGAGGTTGCCCCAGACCTGGTGCTCGAGCAGGTGGTGCAGATCATTGTGTCTGCGAAACCCGGAGAACACATGTACAAAGACTAGGGTCTTGATGTGCAGCCTGGCGTGCTCTCTTGCCAAACCTCCTACTGCAAATCTGCCATCTCCGTGGTTTGGACCGTACGCTGACTGGAACACAAATGCCGGGATGTCATCGCTGAAAAACACAACCTGGGGCTCAGAGTCAGGCTCAGTCAAGCGTCTCCCTTGCAAGTTTTGAAAGGCTGTGCCAGCTGTTTGGAGCCTCTGTTCCCACTTACCCTTCATAACTGCGGCCTCGTGGGAGCCTGCGGAAGGGAGGGTTGGCCCTGCAAGTTTGCGGACCGGTTGCATGGCTTTTGTGGCCCACCAACCTTGCTGCCGCATGGCCAGTGTGTGGGCTTGATCTTCTTGGTCGAGGGCATGCACCATGTCGTCATCCAAAGCTGGAAAACAAGCTTGCAGGGTGTCCAAGCAAGAAGGGACAAACTTCAGGTGCTCAATGAACCTTTGGCGCGAGTGGTAACATTTGCAGCAGGCATTGCAAGAGTTTCCAATGGCATAGAACTTGACGATCCTGCGGTAGCCGTGCACGCGGCTGGCATGCGTTGCGAGGGCTTTCTTGCTCGCAAACGTTTTGCTGCAATGGTCGCATGACCAGGTTTCATTCTGCACGGATTGCTGGACGGGCAGAACACCGCCTCCGGCAAGAAAGGTCCGATCAAACCGCTTTTGCCATAAGTGGTATTCAGCTACGGCGCGACGGTGTCGCTTACAAGCAGCCGCCGCAGCGCGGAGTCGGCCTTTCCAGTTAGCATCCATGGCAATCCAAGGGATCCATTCACTGGCAGAGTCTGCATTAGAAGGACCAAAGGAATGCGGGTAGAACCTGGTGAACCACTCACAGGATCGGGCACATGCATCTAACCAGGAGTGCTGGGTACCAAGTGCAGAGGTGAGACAAGTCCAAAGGGCTTGGGGGCAGTATTGGATCAGCCGTTTGAAGTACCGTAACCTGGCCAGATGCAGCTGGTCAGTGGGTGGGAGCAGGTCAGCCATCCCAAACAGATCCTCAGTGTCGAGGTGAGTTGGTGGCGCGCCCATGAGCGTGTGCTTAACCATGAGGCCTACAGGCTTGCGCATGTGGTTTTGCCATTTCTGCAGATCGTCCTCACTGGCTGTACACCATGTATGGGCGTTATACAACAGACGGGACATGGACAAGGCCTGGAATGCCTGCATCTTGGTGTGAAGGGCAACATACGATTTGCTGTACATGGGCTTGGCGAGGGACCCCCAGGCTGATTTGGCAAGGGACGCTCGTGCTTGAATGTCTCTGGCACAACGTGGGGGTGCCTGGAGCCAGGTTCCCAGGTGTTTGTAGCTCTGCGTGACACTGAGTCGAAAGGGCATGTCCTGCGAAGACCAGCACAGGTGGCCATCATCGTCTGCAATGCGAAGCTTAAGGCTTTTGGAGCCCTTGCCTCGGATTGCCCACAGTGCCTCGGTTTTACCCTTTTCAAAGTTGAGCTGCATTCCTCGCTTTTGTGTGGCTTGGTGCATGGCAACCGCAGCCTGTTGGATCATTGGGACCAACTGGTCAAGTGTGGGCGCATGCAAAGCAATGGCAGCGTCATCAACATAGGCCAAGTCTAAAAACCCAACATCAGGAAAAACATGATCAGAGGCAAAGGACTGGAGGTGCAGTGGCGACCCCATCCATGTACAGTGGACCTGCTCTTGAAAGGAAGCCCGGCAATCCTCCAAAATCAACCGCATGATCATGTTAAAAAGTAAATCACCCAGCGGGTCCCCCGGGCGGGTGCCACGGGTGGTGCAGCAGAGTTCAGGGCGGTTGGCAACCTGGAAATGCGTGTGGCTCATGGTGTCCCGCACTATATGCTGGAGGTGCAGGCACGCACCTTCGGTTGCGTTGTCAGCGTCCGTGGCGTGGATCCATTGATGGATTTCTTGCTGGGTGACACCTAGCCTGCGCAGGGCGTGCACTAGCGCGGTGGGGTCTTGTGGCAAGTACATCAGCGACTGGCGTAAGACGGAGTAAAATGCTGCACGCATGTCAAAAAAGACGACGGCAGTGGGTTGGCCCTTGGCAAAGCATGCAGCCTGATGTGCCTCCAGAAGGTGGTGGGCAAGGTCGGTGCCCATCCCTCGGCGACTCCCCAGTTGGAGGGAGGATATCTTTGCTTCCCACACCGCTTCAAGTTGCGTCCTAATCGCGCGGTGATAGAGCTTTCCTGTGTAATTGGACACAAAGATGGAGCGGTAGGACTGCGGCTCATCGGGTGGTCCTTTCCCTTTATGGAGTGGCACCAGGACTCCCCCCCGCCAAGCAAAAGGCTCAACTGCATGTGCTGCTGCCTTTGTGGTCAGGATAGCAAGTTGTTTGGCAAACACGGGTCCAGCTGCTTTAAGGACTGACGGGGTAATTTGGTTGGGCCCCGGTGTTTTGCCACGCTTGAGCTTCGCAACTTCGGCCTGTATCTGCCACGATGTGGGGAAGCATTGGGGCTGCTGCGTGTCGGTGGGCATGCAAGGGTTTGCAGGAGTGGTGGTGACCTCTTCCGGCAATAGAATGATGCCGGCCTCAATGGCAGAGAATTGATCCAGCCAGATTTGTTGCTGCTCCGTAAAGGTCTGAGCATGGGCACCAGTGGGAGTTTTGAGCATGGGCAGGGGCCTGGCAGGCGTAGGGCGCTTATGGCGCTTGCCGCCCAGTCGGGTGATGGCTCCATACATGGCCTTGAAATCTGACGCTAGTCCAGCTTCTTGCAGCCGTACAAGTATCTGGTCATAGAGGAAGGCAAGGTCCTTGCGCACACGACACCTGACGTCAATTTCAAGGGCCTTCAGCTCTGCTTTGAACACAGGATCATGCATGAGGTGAAAGGCGCGTCCACAATCAAGGACGTGGCGTTTCATGGCAATGGCTTGCATCGTCGATGGGGAAAGCTGAGGTCGCCTCCGGGCAGACGACTTGCGTTCAAAAAACTGCCTTGCTAGTGCGAGCAGTTGCGTCTCGTAAATCTGACAGTGGTCATTGGGGTGCGTTTGCCAGGTTGGCAGAGGTAGGGAGGCCAGGGCCTCCTGGAATTGTGCGCATCTGGTGGGGTCAAGCATGGCATCCTCATCCCATTGGATTCTCCGAGTTGTGGAGGTGATGCGTACCCAGCCTTGTGCCTCAAGGATGACCGGGATGTGATCATCATGCGTGAAAGAGCCATCATAGTCCATCATGACACTCGTACGCTGGGTGAGCTGGAAGGCAGCATGATTGGCTAAAACGTAGTCGATTCTGTGGCGATTGCCATTGGAATGCGACCAGGTGTGCGACGGGCCATGATGGATGTGGGCAAACGTGGAGGGCACGTACAGCTGGATCTCACGCAGGAAGGTTTCAAAGCACTCGGTCTGGGGGGTGGCACGGCCAGCGTCATGCAAACCAAAAAACTGAGTTGCTTCAGTGGCCAAGGCTGCGTTGGCATCGATACACACCCACATGAGAGTGGATGGGCTCAGGCTACGGATAATATCAGTAGTTTCGATCCACCAGTGCTGGATCCTTTCGATGGGGTGGTGGCCATCTCCCTGTGACTTTTGCAAACATGGAGCGTGTAGCACAGCAAAAGTGCAAGTGCATGTGGCAAAGTCAATGTGGACAATGAGGCGCCTTGGGTCGGCGACCTGGACAGTGATGTGACCATCATTGAGTCGCAAGGGGGCGCCATCTGCTCGGTGGGACACAACCAGCTGTTTATGGAGCCAAAGTTCACATCCCAGGTGCGCAGCCGAGGTAGTCTGGCAACCCGACGCGAGGATTTGATAATTCTCACTTTGGAATCTTCCCTTTGCTGTGCGTGTCTCCTGCAGGCCAACGGCATGGATGCGGGCAGCATGAAACTGGGCGTCAATCCTGGCCGTGCGCCCTCCTTGGCGTCTACCGACCTCGGTGTGTTGCTCAGTATGTTCAAGTGCAAGCACATTGATGGTGGCGACCTTGATGTGGAAGGCATGTGGTGGATCCTCAGCCGCAATGGTTGCAGCAGGCATAAGTTGGGGAGGCTGGCATGCTGTGATTTGCACCACTGTATCATCAAAGCAGGGGGTAAGCAAGCATGCAGAGCAGGCTGCTCATAGTGGAGCCAGTCCCAGGCAATGTCATGGGCCTCGACTGCCAGCTCATGCATTTGTGCAAACGAGAATGCAAAGTCTGAGGATCTACTAGGTTGAGTGCAATACTTGGCGACCGCATCAGCCAGTTCGTTCCAGGGGTCCTGTGTGTGGCCCCGGACCTCAAGGTATTGGGCCCTAGCCTTGTTCCAACATGAGACAACACGGCAAAGTTGTGCTAATCTTGGGTGTGCCTTGGTGGTCGATAACTCCTGGGCAATGATGCGGCTGAGGCTCAGATCAGGTCGGATACAAAACTGGGACACGGTATCTTGTTGCAGGATGATGGCATGCGCTGCTAGTAAGGCAGTGAGCTCGGCCGCAATGTTGTCTGGGCGATCAGCACCAACCCATTGCATCGCATTTGGGGAGAGTTCAACTGTGCCACCTGTGACTCCTAGGAGTCTGCGAGAATCAGGGGTGCAGGCAACAACCACGGCAGCCCATCCAGCATGGGTAGACCCAGTGGCACCATCGATGTAAATTTCATAGATGGGATGTGCATGAGGGTCAAAAGGCGCACAAACGCTCTGCATGATGCCTTCACAGGTGGGTTCCGGTAGGCAAAGGTTGGCCGGAACCGTGCACAGGTGATTACAAAGGGATTCTGCGACCGTCCGTTGCCAATTGGGGTTAGCAAACCATAGGAGGGTCGATGCATCTTCCTGGAACTGCGGGTTTGCAAAATCACCTGCAGGCAAACAAGCATTCAGGTAAATGGGAACCGGATGTTCCTGAATCTGTCGTCTGCTGTGGTTGGGACACTCTTTGGGCATGGTCGATTGCCAGGGGTCGCCAGCACCTCCTGGGGCAAAGATTCCATGGTGAACCGACACTACGAGTGAGTGGCCATTGATCACATCTCGTTGAGCAGTGGGGTGCAATTCTTCACGACCTACCCAGGCATCACATGTGTTGGTAGGATCTTGGCAATTGATATCACGGTAAGCAAGGCCAACAAGTGTGGGGAAGGTGATGGGGGAAGGGGCCATGGTGGCAAATCTGTCTACCTGTTCTCCGATAAAAGCTGAATCGAACAAAGTGATCAAGACAGACCGAAACCCTTCAACCGGCTGCTGGACTAGGATGACGTGCGCGGCAACATCCGTCTGCATGTTGGGAGGATGAGGCTGTACTATATGGAAGTGCAGGGGGTCATGTGGCAAGATGACATCGTACCAGAGCCTCCTCATCTGCCTCAGCCATCCATGGGGATCCCCTGTCAAACCGGCATCCCTAGCCTCAAAGCTCTGAGGGTACCGGATGTGATCAAGATACCAGGTCGTAACACGAACTACAGGGCGTGTTGCATCAGGGGACAGGAGGGCCAAGGGTTGCCACAGTGCCTGTAGATACCCGTGGAATGGCAGGCTGTCCCAGGGTGAGGCAACGGTGGGATTGCGTGGGTCTTGTGTAATGGAAAGGGCAGCAATATTGGATTGACTGTGGTGATTTGGCACGATCATGCATTGCCTCTGCGCACACGCGATTTGTTTATGCAAGTCCCGCATGTTGGCTTTGATGGAGGTGAAGGACAGCTGGATCAACGCAACACTATCAGCCCATGGGTCGGAGTTGTCGAACACAACTAGCTCGAAATGATAACCATCACGGACATGGAAAGGAGACCTGCTGTCCAGGGTGACAGACGCATGGCGTACTTCAACTTGGAAGTGCTGGGCCCGGGGATTGGCAGGGTGCACAACATGCGTCCTGAAAGCTATTTGGTCGATGGTGGTTTCAGCATCCAACATAGTGGCAACATAAGCCGGGTTCCAAGGGTCCTGATCAAAGTACACAATGGAAACCAAGGAGGCCCTCCACAATTCGTTGGGGTTCTGCACCAAAATGACATGAGCATGGATATCATCTGTTCCCGCGCTTGGCATAGGCTGGACAACATGCAAGTGCAAAGTCACATGAGGATCAATCTCGTCACGCCAACGGGCTATGATGTCTGGAACCCATGTGTGTGGCAATGGTCGAATCACAATGGTCCTCGGCTCTTCAGAACGCGACCTTCGGTTGGAGTCAAGAAACCATGTCTGGATCCTGAAAGGAGCATCAGCTGTATCAGTACATGCGTCTGTGGCCTGGTGAACCATCCATTGGAGGGTGGCCCTGAAATCACGCATATCTGCTAACATCACGGATGGTAAGGCAGTTGGTGATTGGTGTACCGTTCCAGCGTTTGGCGTGGCGGGGGTTGATGATGCTGCAAGGCCTGGTGTCTCATGTCGGTGGCGTTGCCAGCGTCGAGCACGTTGCATGAACTCAGTATGGTCGCCGTGCGTCTGGTCATTGCTCGCATGAGGCATGGGCAGGCTGCCTGAGGAAGCTGACCTGGCACTGTGTGGCGGTCCAACTACGAGCTGTACACTGATACCAGAGAAAATCTCTTCTAGGACGTGCTGATGGAAACGCATAATGCCTGAGGTCAAGGTGCATGGCCTGAAATCACAGTAAACATTGAAATCATATTTGTCGATGATGTACTGTGCCGAGATGCGGATATCGACTGACTCAGCCTTCTGGAAAATACCGTTACGGAAGTTGGCCAGAAAGATGGCAGTAAAAATGATTGCAGCTCTGTCAGGTTGGAAGCCTTGCTCAAGAATGATGTGCCGTTGAGCGCGGGGCGCAAGCTGGTTATCGGGGTTTGGCTTCACAATCAAAACCCGCATTGGCAACGTGCGCTGAATTTGATCCCACCAGGCATTGCATAGATCTGCGTACCAAAATTCATGAGTGTCATCCAATTCAACTTGGCGCGGGGCATGACATGTCGCATACTGGCCATGATGGATGTACCACACACTGACAAACAATGTTCGACCGGTTTCTCGGAAACGAACAGTCGCAAGTTCATCAAAAATGGACTGAAGCTCAAGATGCCAAATGGGGCGCGGTCTTGGATTGGGTGCCTGAGGCAGCGGGTGGGGTATTGTTTGCATGATCGCAGGCGGCTCCGGCTGATGCGCCTCATTGCACTTTCGATCTTGTGACGGGCACTCAAAGGTGGCATTGGGACCCTGAGGAGAGCGGCTGAAAAACGTGAACAATGTAGGCTGCGTGCACCTTTCTGGTAGAGCACATGCCTTGTCAGTAGGGGTGACAGTACCATTGGGCATATCTGATGCAAACTCAGGCACCGAGGTAGAATCCAGCATCGCATCTTGACTGGCCTCATGCATAGCGTTTTCAAGCCCGTTCTCAAGAGTGGGTTCCGTAGGCGAAGATTGCCTGAACTGCGTGACCTGTCTTGGGCTGGGCAGGGAGGGACCGTGCAAATCAAAGCATGGGTCAATAAGACAATGATCAAACATGTCCCGGAGGTGGGCGGTGACTGGACAAGGGAAAAGGCGCTGTGCTGTGACCTGGGTCAAAAAGGCAGCATCCTCATCACTAAAGTCTTCACCCAATAGGTCCATGATGGCGTCTGTCTGTGAGTCAGTGTGCCATGCGTCAGCGGCAATCATGGTATCAACCTCGTATCCCTGTGGGGGTGGGACCACGATTTTGGCGTAAGAACCATGTCTCACTGGGCGAGGCTCGCTTTCTGTTTTGGGCCAGTTACGGTCATCAAGGGTGACCTCACAAACATCCTGAAGAAACTCACAGTAATGGAGCACTGCTGCAACTAACAGAAGCTGTGGTCTGACAACATGATGGTCAACCCGGTGAACCGTTCTGACGATGGTGGGCCTGTTTGGGGCATGTGCGATGTCTGGATGATGAAAATACACCACATCGACTAAAATAAGCCTTTGGGTGGAGTGCAGGGGCACATCTCCAACCCGTTGCAGGATAGCCGGGATTGCCATCTCTGGGAAATCTAAGGGCTTGACCAACATCGGATGCACGGCTTCAAGGCACTGAAAGGGCACCCCAGCAGCGGCTGCAATTTCATGGGACGGCTGCGCTAACTGGGCGTTGACTAATTCAACGATGATTTCATGAGCCTGAAATTGAAAAAGATGCAGGGGAGTGGTAAATCTTCTGTAGATAGGGTCATTGGGAGCTGGATGCTCCGGCGTGCTTGGCAATAATGGCGTGGGTTCGGTCGGGCTGGCATCGGATGCTGTGGCACTGGTGGCCTGTGGGACATCACGACTACCGCTGGCTCTTTCTGCAAGGGCAATTGGGGAGTGACGGACCACTAACTGAAAACCATCACCGTGCCTCATCACATGCTGGGGTTGCAACGTGTTGGGGATGTCATCCCATCCAAACGTGACAGTACATGGATGATAACGACAATACCTGGCGGCATCGGCTGCAAGTATGACGTCAAACCCACTGATGAAATCTGCAAAGGAGTACGCAACGGCAAACATGTCAAAAGTCCCAGCATCCTGCGGCATGACGGTCACTAAGCCTGCAAAACGATCCATATGAAGGGACTGGGTGACAATTATATCCATCATGACAAAGCTGTGCCTCCCTGGACGAGGGGGGTCAGGACTGACGATGGTAAGATCGAACCAATCATCAGGGTCAATTTGATCAACCCACAATGAACTGAATTGCTGTTCCCATCCTTGGGGCGGCCCAACGAGCTGCAAGATGCGTGGTGCTGTCCATCTTCTCATGTTGACATGGTCAATGTACCAGGTACGCAACGGTATCTCAAAGTCACCACTGTGGACGTTGAGGCCCAGCCGTGAAAAACGAGCAATGAGTGTTTGCAAGAAAGCTGGGTTTGCAGGGGGGTCGTCTTGTGGGAACCGTTCATCATCGTCATCATCTTCATCATCAGAAAACGGCGGTGGATGGTTCCATGGGATTGGACTTTCATGCTCCCGCCTGCAACGTAGAAACCTTGGAGTGCCGCCTGAATCTTCTGTGGCAGGTTTGTCACAAAACGGCTTCAAACGTTGGGTCATGGGGTTCAAGTGTGTCAACATGTCAATCCCATGAGATGAAAGTGAATCATTGTTGCCAAAATTTGCATCCACATCAGTGCCATTGGACACCCATGAACTACTTGCTTTGAAGTTCAAGTTAATGCCAACCGGTTGACACAACATGGGATTGTCTGACATCAAACCGGGTGGCACTACAAGCAAAGAGTCATGATGATCCAGAAGTGTTTGTGGTCGTGCAACAACTGGGACATGACTACAAAATCTTGTGTCAACCACATGGAATACTTGGCAAGGAGAAACACATGGCGGCCGGAGCGATGGCTGTACATCATTGGGGCCAAGATCGGTAAACAACGATTTCCCACGTGCACTACTATCGGCAAAATCAATGGCTTCGCATTGGGATCGACTGTATGCATTGGGCACTTCGGCATGGGAGACTTGGCACGGATTGTCTGTACACCGACCGATAGACCATGGTTTACCAGGCATAGACAAGGCTTCTTCAGGTATGCACAAATGGAAAAACCTCAAACAGTCGTCGGAACCAATGTACAAGTCAACATCGGTCCAAAATTCGACAGACCGGACGGGCTTGCTGGATCTACGGGGCAGCTGACACGAGTGCTGATCGGCTGCTTGCGTTTGGACACCATGACCTGAGGATTCAAAATTGGTCCCATCAAAACCTGAGCAACCTAGTTCAAAGGCAAGATGGAATGCTTGTGATGCTGCGGTCCATGGGTCGACAAAATCGGATTCCTGCAACACGGAATGCAGCCAAGTCATTGCTGGGTTAAAAAGCAATGATTGGGAACGGTGGTCGGCTGATCGGTCGTTGCATGTGCCTGGTGGCATCGCTTGAAAAAATCCCCGAGTGCATACGGCTTGGGTGGCCCTGGAGCAATACGTGTAGCATGGGTATTTACTCGGGCACACCAAAAGACGGTGGATTGGGTTCGGATGGACCAGGAGGCGTCTCTGTGGCTGCAGTCCTTGGGCGTTTTCGCATCTGATCTTGCTCGGCTTCGATCTCGACTGCTTGCGCGGCCTGAGAGTGGAGGGTCTGGAGATTGGACGCTAAGTCCTTGAAGCTTGCGGCTATCTTCTGGCCGGCAATGGCCTCTGTGTCCTTGGCATCGGCTTCCTCTCCATCGCTCATCACTGCGGTCTCTTCCTTGTCCGTGAGACCAGCCGCGCTTTTGCATGCTCCAAGGTTTTCCTTGGCGGCCACGAGGCTCTCCTGGGCCTGCTTGAGGCGGTCCATCAGTTGCTTCTCCTGCTCGACAAACTGCGCCGTGTAGCGGGTCCATTGTTGGACAGATTGCTCGAGGAAGTTGCGCCAAGCAGCATGCATCTGTAGGCGGGCAGCTTGTGCCTCGGATACTTCCTTCTTTGCTCTGCCGTGCTGCGAGACAGCTGAATGTAACAGCTTCGTCTCGTCCTGCCCTGATCTCACAGTCACCTCCTTCACCAGCGTCTGTAGGTCTTCGGGCAGTTCGTCCTTGTGACGTCTCAGTGCTGCGACCAATGACTTCATCTGTCGGTCGCGCTCCTTGTCTTCCTTGGTTTCCAATGACCCAGCAGCTGTCGGATGGGGGGCATTGGACCCTGGAGCAGGAGCAGCATTCATGGAAGCTAGCCAAGGTGGATCCACGGAGGGCATCGCAGGCAATGATTGCGGTCCATAGTTTGGCAACTCTGCCAATCTTTTTCCCTTTCCTTTGCCTTTGACAGCTTTTTGTTTGGGCTGAGGCCGGCGGGACCTGCGCCTGGGCGACTGTCTGCGTCTGGGAGACTGCACCCATTGGTCTTGAGGCCATTCTTCTTCTTCCCATTGTGCCTGCGTCCAGTGGACTTGTCGATTGCTGGACCGCCGCATGTAAGGAACAAAATCGGGATCTGCACATGTTTTCCATTGCTGTCCACATTGAGCGCAATGTTGATGTCGTCCTGAGCAAAGACGTTTGCACGGTAGACATTTCCATGGTTCGAGAACTTCTGAGGTCATTTCTGCAGAAATCTGAGCCAAAAACGTAGGATCCCGAGAATGGTGTTGACCAAGTGTTTGAAAAATTTGTTTCAATCGATTCACAGGGAGGGTACGATGACCTTTCCGGTGAAGATGCCACAATTGTCGAGCTTTTGCTCGTCCACGTCGTAGGGCCCTCCTTTGAGTGGGCGTAGCCGTGATTGAGATTGCTGAAATGAAAAACTTTCAGCGATCCAAAGCCCAGACAATGATTGACGTAATCAGAAATCAGGGTAAATGCAATGATCGTGATGGCAGGGAAAGACAAAACTGAGCACATCCACCAGTACCAACTTCGTAGTACAAAGCAGTGCGGCTGAAACAAATCCGAGCCAGTCAGATGTCGGGAGCTCACCCCGTTATGTCACCACAGTCAAAATTGAAATGCGAAGAAATCAAAAATGAGCCAGTGAAAAATGTGAGGGAGCTCACCCCTTTGTTGTAAACCCTCAGGCGCTCGGCACACCTGCAGAGGCCAACCCAGTGTTAGGCACACTGCAGAAGCCTTGCAAGGTGATGCACCCAAATCAGTGCAGAGCACACGCAAAAAGCCCAGGTTTTTTGTGGAGCTGGGACTCCAAGATCCAGAAAAATGCCCACCGCGAATAGACAATGTCAATACCCACAGAGCAAAAACCAGGATGAAGTAGAGGTTGTAGTGGCAAACCAGTCAGCCCAGTGAAGTGCAGTGAATGGTTGCCAAACCAAAGGTTCAGAAAAGACAATAGAACCCGTGGGAAGCACGTTAGCAACCCACTGAGGAAATGGCTCCGACAGTGAAAACCCCAAAACGTCGCGAACCGGGGGGGCACTTCGGGCCAAAACCTTGGAAGGATGACATCCCATATATTATGGAAAATACAAATGTTGCAAACCTAAACAACCGGGGAAATAGATGTGATGATCCATTCCGAACAAGAGCAAGAAGCTTGCCACACATTCTGTAGCTTTTAGAATCTTTGAAGGCTTAATATGCCAAACATTTGCTGGCCCCAACTGGGGTCACAAAAAATGTTCCCAGTTTTTCCCAGCCCAATTCTAATAAGTTGGACCTCAAGCAGCATATCAGATATTAAAAGCATATCAATCTATACTGAGTTATGTTATACATATCAAACATATATTAAAAACAAAACTCAGTTATAGTATGTTGCGTATGTTATAGTTACAGTCATGAGTTATATGATATTCATACTACACTTAAATATCCAAAAAAATGAAACCTGAAGTTGAGTTCAGTTGAGAAAACTCACTCACGACTTCCTCCAGTAAGGATGCTGCCATCTCGGAGATGAGACGACCTGACGGCTGGTTGTTGGCGATAAAATGGACGATTTGAGATGACTATCATGATCTTGTGGATTATCCATTTTGTGGATATAATTATAGCAAATATAGCAAATTATCTTGTGGACTATTATTGATTGCTATAATTTGCTGTATAAATACATCATTATGGATGATTTATGGAGATTTTTTGATGTTAATTGCCCAAGAAGAAATGGTTTGTTCAAGCTCCATGGCAAATCGTGGCTGACCCGCGCCTGCAAAGAATTTAAACATGGAAGGGATTCGGATGAAAGGAACCGCCTCGTTTCTTCACTGGAACCAGCAATATGAGGCTCGGTGAACAATCCGGTGTACAGAAGCACTGAAGGGGGAGACATCTGTCCAGAAAGACCTAGTATACTATACAGTAGTTAAGCTTACTTGTCACTTGTCTTCTGCTGAAGGGTGTAGTGCCAAATTCAACTCTGCAGACATCTCAATATATCATAATTAGCGTTACGTGGCACATCGCGGATACTGAGGTGTCAACTTCATTGTAGAAGAGAACGATGGACTCGTCCTGCACGGCCATGTGCGATTCGATTTTACTCGTTATGAAACAGTCCCTTCTTCCTGATCTTCCAATATCTTCATATATCTTCCATAATCTTCAATCTGAGGATGGTGTGGAAAGCATCTCTCCCCTGCCAACATCATTTTGGTCACATTTTTTTGGGTCTCTGCGATCGACCCTCACCGACCAATTGCGGTTGTCGAAGAGGGCTGCCCTTGGACCAGTCCTGGCTAACTGGAACTACGCGCCAGAAGCCTTGAGGCAGGGCTCACAAAGGTGTCAAAGGCAAATGAGTTTAGGATAGCCTACAGTAGGTGCTTCAACAATTTAAGTTTGAATAATTGGATACTAGATGATACTAGATGATACTAGTAGCAACAGTGAATTCTCAGCCCATTTCAGCAGCAATGGATATTTCTGTACCTGGGAATGTCCACCATCCTTCAACATGGCACACCGTCATCCTGGCCTGACATGTGCTTCATAGCTCCTTGCTTCTTTAACTTGAAACTGATCTCATACTTCTTCCAATCCTGGCAGCCAAAAGACAGCACATCCACCCTCGGAAATATGTCTCCAAAAATCGAGAACCACAAACCCAGTGGTTTATCATGATGCTACCATTTTTCCCCATGGCAATTTTGGGGTCTACGGTCTACCTCATTTCTATACATTTTGGTAGTATCTAAGCTTTGTCTGGAAACAGGGTACCCACAAATTCACTGATGCATCATCATTTTCCCTATTAAAAGATATTAAAAGTATGTAAAAGTCATGAAAAGTCATTCAAATGCCAAAATGTCATTTGGGGGGTATTACATGGTATTACCCCAGTATCACACACAGCTCCCACAAGGTCTGACAAGGTCTGAGGGTCCTCCATGGCTAACACGGTGGACTCGAAGTTGATGGGGATTCCTTCAGGGCGGAGGCAGCCGCATGCGGATGCCGAATGTAGTGACTGTAGTGTGGCACACTGCTGTGGAATGATTTGGAAACTGATCTTCCAACATCTTCCAACCGAAGGAAGATCAACATAGATCAACCATGAAGATCACCCACAGATCTTCCGCACCTAGCAGTGTCCATTGCCCTGTCTTGCTCACCTCGAAGAGTCGGGTTTTCTTCACCTGATCATGTCCCATCTTCCCATCCGACGTCGCCTGACCTTTTGCATCTTTTGCGCAAAGGACTTCAGCATACTTCAGCTGTTTAATCTGTTTCAAATATGTTTCAAATATGTTTAAATATGTTTAAACATATTGCAACAAGGCGATGCAGGCCATGCTGACGAAGCAACCGCAACGCAATCAACGCAGATCGGCCGATCGGCCTTGTCTTCATGGAGGAGGTCTCGGAAGTTCACAGATGCGCAATTGTCAAAGATCCGTTTGTTCTCCTGCGAAAATCAACTGCCATGGGTCACCCAATGGGCCCAATGTGGGTCATGGACCATGGATGATATATTGATGTTTGGTGGATTTTGGTGAATTGGAATCGACTTGGCAGATAAATGCCAAGTTCAGTCTTAAGCATCCTTCTAGAATGGACATACCTGCTCCCCGAAAATCCCGGGCTTCACTGGACCAAGAGGGAAATTGATCCTTGGTTGGATTTGTGCACCTTTCTTCCGGAGAGTCTCCGCTGGAACTGCAACTATTTGTCATTGCGAAGTTCACACCTTCAAAGACCAGAAATTCTTCGTCAACGCATTGCACGCTACGGCAGAAGCTCTGCAATGATCTGAGCTTCATTGGTGTCGTCCTCAGGATCGCAAAAGCTTTCGAAGATCTTCCGAGCGTTGTAGCGGACGCGGATCGTTCCCCTGCAAGGGCAGTTGTCTCTCTGAAAACCACAGAGTGATCCACTCCCTGAAAGGTGAAAACGCCAGGTGTTTCAACTTCTTGGAATCTTATTGACATTCATTAATTACCTCCCAGAATCCCAGAGATTCATAGATATTCTGTGTATTCTCAGGGACTTCGCGATTCCCACTGGGTAAAGCGATCCGACAGAGCCACTGATAGGTAGCTGGGATTGGTTTGTCGAGGCACGTCTCAATTGGATCTAATTGCCTTCCAACATCCCTTGACAAACTTTCTAGAGGATTCAACTACAAAATCTACCAAGAAATGTCTCTACCCCCATGTTGGTTGGTTGGATCCTCCATTTTTGACAGCCACCCCCATTTTTGACAGTCCTGGCAAAAAATGTCTCTATTCTATTCTATTCTATTGATTTCTATTGTATGTGATTGGAATCTGATGAATCACAAGATCCTCAAGCGTTTCCAGCTTGCTACTGCCTCGCCGCAAGCACTCCGCCATCCTCACCACGCGACAAAATCTCCACCTGGCCAGGTGGTCATCGATCCGAAGGATTTGGAATTGGGAGTTTTGCATGGGATATATTGGGAGATGAGATCAGTCTGAATCTCTAGAAATATGCATATGAAATATATGAATAAATGTGAAATATCACCAAATATCTATGAATACAGTGGCTTCAGACTCAGATTTCCAAAAGCCTCGGGAGGATCGCCGCACTCGCCCACGTGCCTTTTTTCCATCAAAGATCATGGAGTCAGCCATGTCCAACATCCGTGCCAAAATCGACCAAAATAGACCAAAATAGACGTGCCATGGGGTTTGCCACCGCAGAACTTCGCTTTTGAAGACACGATGCAATGGTAGATCATGGTAAATCATGATAGATGTTGGTAAATCATGGTAAATCGTGGTAATTCCTCGAACTAACTGGGCCATGTTCCAGTTCGTGGAGCTTTGTGGGAACATGAAAAGCGAACGAGAAAAACTCTGTGGATCTGTGCCTCTCTTTGGCCTCTTCAGAGGTGAACCTGGACACGTCTAACCTCGGCGGAGATGTTGAGGCCGCTGCGCTATCAAGCATCGCATCATCCATGTATATTCAACATCATTGATACATTTGGACGTATTTGGAAGCATTTGGATATTGTATATTTGGATATTGTATGGATATTGCATGGATATTGTTCAACGATGTTCAGGGCTGTTCGAACAGGAAGTTCCAGTACTTCAAGGTTGGTGCCCCCCTGTTGTGGCATCATGTGGCATCCAGGTCGGGGCAGCACTGGGAGGCCCTGCTTAAAGGCTGTATCTGCATGTAGCCTCGGATGGATTCTCCAGGGACTATGGATATGAAATGATAGATCCATATGCATCCATATGGATGGGGCTTTGTAAAAAACCCAAGCTCTTTCAAATGGTTTTTCCAGACGTTATCATGTTATCTTTTTTTCCTCTTATCGTTTTTCCAAGCGCTGGCTTCACACCTTGATCAAAGAATTCACATGAGCGAGGAAATGGAAAAGGAAAAGGAATAGTAACGAGGTCTATCTAGTTGCTGGTCGGGTTTCCCATGTCCCCATCCCCTCGTTCGAGGGCCCCTTGGACTCCCAACGCCACTGCGTTCAACGGGATGTTGGACCGGGCCCGCGGCCTGAAGATGCAGCTCGGGCTGCAAGCCCGAAATCATGGGATATTAATGGTATGATCCAATGGATCATACAAAGTCCATATGCAATCGGATCAATTGCTGGTTGGTGGTTTTAAGATGTTTTAAGCATCTTGAAACATATTAGTCAATGGGAAGGATGACATCCCATATACTATGGAAAATAAAAAATGATCCAAACCACCAACCAGAATTGGGTTGGGTTCCATCACAAACCCCATCACATTTTTGTTGGCCGTGAAAGATGGTGAACGCTCGGGTTGATGCCAAAATATGCCAAACAATTTAACAATGCATCAATGAAGTCACTCACCCGCCCTGAAAGCAGTCCAAGATACACCGAATTTGCCGTGACGCTTGAGACTTGTTTGCCTGCGCATGGCAGATCTTGTTGAAGTGCAAGCTCTGCGCTGAGACTGCCATTGCTCTCAGGTCCTCTTTAAAACCTGCCAGTTGGTGGTCCCTGGTCTCAATACCAATAGATGTGAAGACATAAAGTCCGAAAGAATCATGAACATCTCTGAGCTTATTGGGCAGGCTGCATGGATTTATGAGCAGATGCCTTTTTCCTCCATTGCGACATTGGATGAATCTGGACGAATATGGAATCCAGCGGTAGATTCCGACCGGCAGCAAACTTTGTGCTTGCGGGTCGAGCGCCAGTCTTGTAGCTGCTAATTTTTTCTCTCCTAAAGTTCCGGAGTCCCACAAGAACAAGGTACTGTAGGTACTGTGATTAACGTCTCGATATTCGGCTTCCGCGACTGCACGCCAGATCCTCATCAAAGTTCACAGAATGTTTGCTGTTTTATCCACAGTATCCCAAGATATCCCAAGTAGCCCATGAACCTAAGAAGCAAACGAAGCTCAGCTTGAGGTCTGAGTCCCGTTTGACTCACCGTCTGGTTTCATAACATTTATTTTTGTGAGTGATCATTGCCTGTATTACATCGTCTTCTAGTGAAATGTTACGCCAGGGTCCAGGAATTCTTAACATTTCTTAACCACGCTGTCCCAACCACTCAGCGATGCCGCGAAGCGGGTCCTCAGGGTGCCTGGCCACTGAGGTCACAGTTCATGGGCATCGACAAAGGTTCCAAGCCGGGACCATATTGACCTCGTAGAAACATCTATTTGGATGATGGTCATTTATTGATATTTATTGACCATATGACATTTATAATATCCCATAGGATCCATGTATGCCATATATGGTAACATTTACCATTAATATACCCCCAATGTTAGCATATATACCAGCACCATGGATCCTATGGGTATGACCATAAAGAAGACAAACGGAGGGACGAACCAGGAACCCCAAAATTAAGGGAACAACCGATTCACCAACACTCCGCATCAACAAAACAAGCAAACACCTTTTCTGGAAGGCGCTTGAGCCACAAACGTCGTAGACGTGTAAATGACCCACCCAGGTTATTGTTAGGATGGAATTACACTCTACTCTAATTAGTGGCTACCCTACCTATGTAACGCTTCTACATAGGTAGTGCTATGACTGTACATATCGGGGATATCTACTTTGAATTAGTTGGACTCATAGCTACGGCAGTGCTCTACATATGACCTACTACCTATGCTATACATAGTGGGGCTCAGGGGTCGGTATATTTCAACTCCCCCCTCGCCTGTTCCACACATACTGCGCATTGGCAGTGAGCTAAGCAACTACTGTCGCGCGAACGGGCGTTCACGCGAACGGGCGTTCACAGCGACCTATGCTTTGGCTTTCAGGTCTAATGGGAGGTCAGTACGGATTCCTAAAAGGATTAGTGCTGCTGCCCATTTATGTGGAGGCAATGCCTTGGTGAATATGTCTGCCGCTTGGTCATCGGTGTGGGTGTACTCTATCTCGGCAGAGTCATCCCTGAAGACTTCAGACAGGCAAGATAAATTAACTTTGTGTGTTCTAGTTATATGGCGAAGCTTGGGACTATACCCTTTCTTCACAACTAGGATTGTTGCTTGATTATCTTCGTGGACCTTAAGGGTTACGGAGCGTGCAAGCAACAGCTCCCATAACTGTAAGGCAGGCAAGCCTTCTTGATAAAGCGAATGGGCTAAACTAACCACCTCGCTTTCCGTGGTCGATCTAGAAGTGGATGTTTGGCGCTTGCTAATCCATGCAAGTGGGAAGAAGGAACTAGGGCCAGTCAAAACTAAAAAGCCACCGGAGGTTGAGCGTGCAGTTGATCTGTCGCCGGCGAAGTCGGCATCGACAAACAGTCTGAGCTCCAGGTCTTCAGGCTTGTCCTGAATGGTACCTACTAACCTGTAGTGTGGTGTTGAGGCTATATACTGGATTAATCTTAGGACCTTCTTATCATCCCCCCTGGACCACGACTGGACCTTTGTGGCCAGATCATTGATAGGCATGATGATGTCGGGACGTGCAAGTCTACCTAACCAAAGGGCTTTCATCAAAATCTTACATGCGTTTGGGGCTAGTTCCCCCTTAGTTTCATCATCTTCAATGGTGATGGATCCCTCGGGTGGAAATGGCGTGGCTGCATGCTTGAGTTTGGTGACACCAGTTATTGATTTATACAAATCTACGGTCTGCTGAGCGTAGTCTGCCATATCAAAAACCATGCCATCTTGGGCTTGGAAGGCTGCACATTTTTCATGACCTTCGGTCTTGGATAGTGGGGTAACAACATGGTTGCGTCCAAGAATCCTATAGATGGGCTCTGGGGGTTCAATGTCTACCACAGAAGTTAACTTATTCCAGAATGCATCATGCTGGTCGGCGGGGCCAGCTAGAGTTAAATCGTCTACATAAGTTGACAGAAGTAACTTTGTATCTGGGAAGAAAAAGTTTCCTGGGTATTCTGTAACCTCCTGACCACCAAGGTTCTTGATGATGACTTTCAAGTGTTGTTCCCACAGGCCTCCGGCATCAGGATGACCGTATAAGGCTTTAATTAAGAGGACTACGGGCTTAACAAACTGCTGCTTCCAATACTTAGGGCGGAGCTCCGGGGGAAGCTCAATCCAGGTTTTGTATTTGGAAGATAACAGTGCTTGGACGTAAGCTTTGACTGCATCAGCAGCCGTCGCGCGGTTTCCCGGCAGCGACCCATACGCCAGGCAGGCGTTTAGCCCTTGGACGGAGGTGGGATTTGCGCCGAGTTCTTGGTAAACCGCGGCTGCACCATGCTCGTCCTTTGCGCAGTCCCCTCTGTACACAATGCGCCCCTTCATTTTGTGAAGGTGGTCTGCAAGCTCGTAGAATTTAATGGACGCGAAGGTCATGAGTTGACCAAAGTGCACTGACACACCCGAAGCCTTGGCTTCTTTGCGTACATCTTCCTTCTCGCGGACCGAGCTAAGGTCCCAAGTACCAGCCTTAACCAAACCATCGGCTTCGGCGCGGATTGCCTCGAGGGCCTTGGGATTGGACAGCATCTCTGCACGGGATAAGAGCTTAGCGACCATTGCTTTGATCTCAGGCGTTGGCGCCTTAGGGTCTTCCAGATGGAAGGCTTGAGCGATCAATTGTTCGTGGTCAAGAAGTTCTGTAACCAACCTATTAGCAGTGGGATCTGATTCAACAGCTATGGCTAAATCTTCAAAACCAGCTAATGGGGATACATGCTTAAGGTGCTGCTCAATTTCCCTATGGGGTTGAGGCTCGCTAGTTGCCGGTCGGCAAGGCATAGCAGGAACGGACTGCTGGGCACATTTTGCGGGATACAAAGCTTGCGCAATTAGATTAGTCATTTGGGGCGGATACATTGCGGAGCGAGTGGTCTCAGCTCCCTCACATCTGGAATGAGGTTGCTGGCATCGGCACCGCATATCTTGAAACGCCTCTACAATTCGGGGAGAAGTGGTCTTGAGTTTCCATGGCTTTTTGATGGGATAACCATTTCTGTCGGTTAAACCTACGGCACACCCTTCAAAATCAACGGTCATAAACTGGGGATGTTTCTCAAAGAATGCTACAACGTCAGGCCTTTTCCAGCCAGAGCAAGGTCTTGGCCATTCAAACGTTACAGTACCACCATGATTGAGAACCCTCTCAGCGCGTTTGGAAAAACTCTTAAACAACCGTTTGGACTCTTTGACCTGGTGGGCTAGCTTCCTAATGAATGCGGCACCACCCCTCTTCCTATTGATGTACTGCCAAGGGGATCCGGATGTGCAAGGGATAGAGGCCCACATATGTGGAGGTGCAACCTTAGCGGCTTCATCTACTTGATAGTCTAGTTGCTCACATTGTGACTCATCTCCCAGGTCTATCCTATCCTTACAAAGTCTAACATGATTAATGCCATATTCTTGGTGAGTAAAACCCATCTGGGATTCCTCAGAACAAGCAAACTCAAACATGGTTGACTTGGCATTAGGTCTGGAAGCTTTCTTGGCAGCTTTCCGGCTCCTACGATTATCGCGGTTAGTTGGCTTACCTACGGCGGGGCAACCAAAAACAGGCAGCGACTTTTGACATAGGTCGGAACATCGATTGGCAACTTGGGGAAGAATAGCTACACCGGAAACAGAAACAGCGGGCTCGGCTGGAGTGCTGGGTTCGGATGAACCTGGTACCTCACCTCGTATGAAGATCTCCTCAACCAGTGCTCTATCGTCTGCGGAAAGGTGAGATGGTATCGGGTCGGGATCAGGCAGATCATCACCCTGGAAGATGATGGCATGTGCCTCATCATCCTTATCTTCTGCTTCTGTCTCACTCATGGGAGGTGGTGCTTTCTTCTCTTTTTCGGCTTCTTTTTCTTTTTCAACCAACATTGCGAAGCGGGCTCTGCACTCATCAGTGTGCACGCGCGAATGGCCAGTGCAGCCTTTGCAACCAGGGGTCTCTTTCCACTTAAGGATGCGGTCTACGGTTATATAAACGGAACGACTTTTGACACCTGGTGTAGAGGGTGAGGCTATTCCGCCCTCCTTGGGGAAGGGCACATCCTTTAAGGCATATTCAGGCAACTTAAGATCATCTGGGTTATCCCCCCTGATGAGAGCTTGGCGGCGTGAAAAACCTACTGGAAAAACAGGATCACCTTCAGGAACAAAGATTTCTGCTTCTGGAACATCAACGGCTGAATTCCCACCTCTAGTGCGATACTCTTGGTAATCTAACACCCTTAAGATATTTCTATATCGGAAACCGGGATCAATCCTCCAACCCAAAAATAGACCAGGTGACATGTTGGGCTCCAAAGTTCTTTTGGTGGGTGACTTCCTACGGTAATACACTAACTGACCAAAGCATAACCTCATGCCATCAAACTTACTCCTAGTAAGCGACTCCCATTGGGTTTTGTCGGGGTCGGCTATTGAAGGCTTGTCGAATGACATTGAAAGGCAAGCATATGGATAGCTATATGTGTGGTA